CGCATTTGAGAGTAACCCACGAATCCACTTCCTCCAAGTAAGACCAAACCCCATCTGGTTCATAACATCATCTAAAAAACCCCAGTTCAGGTTATCAAATGCTTTTTCAAAATCAGCTTTAAAAATCAGAACTTTCCGTTTCGACTTCTTCGCCCAGGAAGCTAATTCATTAACAATCAACGGGCCATCCAGAATACAACGACCTTTGATGAAGGCCGATTGCTCTATGCCAATAATCGACTCCAAAACTCCTTTCAGTCTTTCCGATAAAACCTTAGAAATGATCTTACAAACACAGCCAATTAAATTAATCGGTCTATAATCTTTGAAAGAGGTAGGATCACTTACTTTCGGGACTAGAGTGATGAACGAAGCATTACAACCCCTTCTTAAAACCGCATTATGTTCAAAGGATTTGACAGCCTTGAAAATATCATCACTGAGAATATCCCAAAAAATTTTAAAGAAAGCGAAAGAGTAACCATCAGGGCCCGGGGCTTTTTCGTTACCGCAACTTCAAACAGCCGCTTTAATTTCCTCCAAAGAAAACGGCATTTCAAGCAAACTCTTCTGTTGAGTCGATAATTTATTGAAAAGATCACTTTTGAATTTCGGTCGACAAGCCACATCTTCCGAGAACTTACGCTTAAAGAATTCATAGGCCGAAATTTTAATGCGAATCGGGTCTCTAATCTAGCTGCCGTTTTCGTTTATACCAAGAATGTTCGATTGGCTGTACTTACTTCTAAGAATCCCGTGAAAGAATCGAGTGTTCTCGTCACCTTCAAGGTCCCACCTCGCTTTCGCCTTTTGCTTAAGATCACAGAGCTCTGCTTCGTCAATTTCTAATACACGCTTCATTGCATCAGCTCTGGCCTGTACGTCTGCGTCCGTAAGAACTCTGTTCATGGCACGAGCATCGAAATCATCGATTTTTGTTCTAAGGGCAAATTTCTCAGCTTTTCTCGACTCCATTTTAGCTTTCCTCCAGGCCTTAATGCCAGATTTCAACTATTTTAAAGGATAAAAATCTCATGTCATGTTCTTTTCACCTTTCCCTCACGGAATCCCAGGGGGTTTCACTTCGGCAATCTTGATTAAGTGAACGGAATGTTGTTCCTTAAGTTCTTGACCCAATGCCAGATGATATTTCGGCTTGGGATGCATTTTCTACCGGGAAAACCTCGCTTATTCAATTCAAGAACTTGATTTCAATCTCAATAAGTTCTTATATCTCATTTATGTCCATCAATCAAATGAATACGTATGTTTAACGAAAGAATATTAACTTCAATAAAACAAATTTAAAATACATAAAATTCTAATCTATTTTAATTTCATTGGTTGGACAGAGATGAGATATATGATTTAGGGATAATAGATTTTTATCCATGAATATCTGCCCATTAATTATTTGAGAGGAATGAATGAATTCGGAGTCCAATCTCATTGTTTCAAGTTGAGGGCATTTATGAGAGCTTTTGTGAAAGGGTGGTGATTCACAAAGCAACCCAGAGGAGAAAAAAAAAACAAGTACATTCAATTGTTAAAATCACGTTTACACATATGACTACAGTAGCATAAGATGTTAATGAGTAGTTTGGCATTAAATAGTTGAATGAATTGACTCAGTTGTAACACCCCAATTAATTTTAATGCATGGTTTCTTTTTATACTTATACATTCTGAGGTCTCATTACTTGTTTCCAACCTTTACTTTATAATATTTTGATATCTAACATGGTATATGTGTTCAAAAAAATAAATTTAGTGTAAAGTTGATTATTTCATATGTATTGAGAACAATGTTTCGGACATAAATTCTTTTACAACCACAAATATAACTTTGCAAAATCACGATACCCTTAAAATCAACATTATATATATATATATATATATATATATATAGCTTCAACCTATCTCATAAAAAATCTTTTGATAGACGAATTTAATTTCTCACGTCTTTATCAATTCCCTGCAAAATGACTTTCTCGCTCTTACATGCATCAATACCCAACTTAACAATATTTTACTCTTATTATGGTAATGATAATGGTATATTATCAAGCACATTATATAACTAGAATAACTATTACCACATTATGTTTTATTGAAACAATTTCGTATAACATCCATATGAATCCTCAAACATGTATATATAACAATTTCACATTGCATGAACATGTAACACCATATTTGCATAACCATCATTTTGTAGAAAACATGTGTACCTCAGTTTGAAAACACGTACGAAATTCTCTTATATAGTCCCACTTTAATTTATGCTTAAAACATTTTTATCATCCATCAGTAAATACAATGGGTTTTAATCAGCAATCAGTGGATTAATTGGATTGACCCAAAGGCCAATACCATTACTAAATATTAAACAACTTGAATTGTGACGAATGCATCCACAAAATAATACTTAATCTCCCTTAATCATTTTTAACTAGATTACAAAATTATTCTTGTTGAATTCCCTGTTACAATAACTTTTTCAAAGAACTAGGCTTAATGTAACTGTTCAGATCATCACCTTACAACCTAATCAATATAATAAACTTGTTTGTTTATCATATACATACAATAGATAGCCACAACCGTAATAACGTCTCAAACAGATTCTCTAAAATGGAGAAATAAAAAGTCAAAAACTCAGGAAGAAAAAAAAATACCTTAATCTTCAACGGATTTTCTACTCTGAAGACCACAATTAATTATATTATTAAAATATTCAATATAACTCATTAAATATTATTTTTTTTCTCTCCTAAACATTTAGATTCAAACAATTTTATTGGTAGAATGAATAAAAAGTCATTTCCTCTCATAAGTAATTATTTTTGGAGAAATCTCCAAATTTAAAGAATTTCATCCCCTCTTTCTCTCTCTCTCTCTCTTACTTTCTTCATTTGAAAAAGGTTTAAGAGAATCAATTAAAACAAAAATACTCAAGATCTAGGTTTTGGCCATTACTGCTTAAATTTCATTAAATTGGATCTTAAAGTTCATAAAAATATGTACCAAGTAGGGCTGTCCTTGGGGTTGGACGCACGACCACTGACCACAAAAAATAAGGGCCTAAATTTTTTTAGTACATATAGTTATGGTTCAACAAAGTTGGTAAATAAAAGAGACAGTTGTTTTAGTATCTAATAGGACTCAAAAAGAATTTATGATTATATTAAATGCCTAACATTTATTAATTATTTACATTGAAGAAGAAAATATGTAAAAAAGTTAACTAATTAATCGTTCATTTTATAGTATTACTTATTGTTTTTGTAAGTTATTTATCTAGAACGAAAGTCTAAAATTATTTGCCTAAAAAACGTTAATATATTTTTCATCATACTAGGGACTCTTTTAAGCATGAATTCTAATTTTGTATTAGAATATAACATATCTATTGTTATTAACTAAAAAACTTCTACCTTTTGAAAAAATTTATTAGACATGCCAACTAACTTACATTTATATCTAGGATTTTGTAAGTAATCTTTCATACATTATTGAATCTTTATTACCTAATATTAAGGGTACGTTTTTATCTCTAAAACAAGAATAAGATCTCAAGTTATAACTAATATGAGTTTTGATTAATTTAAGATTATTTGATGGTTCCCAAAAGGTTTGTTTTAATTTTTCCTCTAAAAAAGCTCAAAAAGTTTAAAATAGTGACGAAAAACATTAACATGATGTGACATGAAACTCAATTGATTTATATTGATTTGTATATAGTGTTGTTCCATATAATCAACATTTTGACAAAAAATGATGTCCATTTATATATTAAAAACATATCATAGAATGTTTTTAATGGTCCAATCGTATTGACGATATTATGTAAAACTCATATGATAGATAATATTAATTTAAAAATAATTATTTGATTGATTTTGCATCTAACAAATATTCTAAAAATCAATTTTATATGAATGATTAATATTTTTTAAATTTAATGTTATTTTTTAAATGATAAAAACAATATATTGAAAAAAATTGTAATTATTAACGGAAGATTGATCTCTTCTCTCTATTGTTTTCATACCAACAACCCTATTGGCCTTTCTTCCTTCCCTTTTTTCTTTCTCTATAGTCTCAACGAAGGCTATCAGCCCTCTCTCCCTCTTTTTGTTGTCGGTGCAGTCGTCATTAGCCAAACCAGCCCTAAAGGCTATGAACCAAATATATATATTAATAGCCATTTGGGTGCTTGCCACTCATTTCATATTCCACGTAACTTTCATGTGGCTTATTAATTAGTTGCAATTTTCAAGTGACATAATTAATGCAATGCGTCATTTATTTTTTATGGTAATTATTTAGTAACTACAATCACAATGATGATATATTTGCAATCATCAAGTTATTTTCTTTCACGAACGCTATAAAAATCAGTTAAAGCAACATTTTTAACACGATGCACTTTCGTTTACTTTGTAAAAATATGGATATTATCGTGAAAAACCAATCATTTTAATTGATTTGATGGTTGTCTTACGATGTAGGACTGGATTAATCATACTAAATATGTTCATTATAAGATAGGGAAAACACACTTTCAAGGAGAAAAGTTATATTTCGGGTCTTTTTCCGAAAAGTGCATTGAATATTTAATTAAAATTACGCTCAATCTTATATGAAGTATCAACCAGATATCTTTTCGATTACTGGTCCTTGGCCTTGTAACTTCAATTCGTTGGTTTTTCTGTTAAGGAATTTTGAAGTTAGCTAGTTTTAGACATGTTTTTCATGCTTCTATTGATTCATATACGACACAGTAATTGCTAAATCTACGTTAGGAGACTCAAGTAAAACTACTTGCTATAAAGTTAACACTTTAGATTAACTTAATGAAGCCCACATGGATCTCTATAATTTTTTTATTGCTCCCGCGTGATTAGAAAATTGATGATAAGAAAAACATATTAAGGATGAGTTCATCAACATCTTCTTCTATAAATACCATTAGGCACTTGGGTAGTTTCACACCACAAAATTAACTGGCTAGTGCTTCTTGATACTTAAAAAGTATTAGCTAGTTTTCAGTTCACATCCCAAAATGGCTTCAAGTGCTTTAAGAACAACCGCCTTTCTCCTCACTCTCAACCTTCTCTTCTTCACTTTGGTAAGTTCACAGACAGCACCTGCAGAAGCAACATGCCCTACAAGCTCTCTGAAGTTTGGTGTGTGTGCCGGATTCCTCAATAACTTGCTGGGTGGCATCGAAGTAGGATCCCCACCAACGATACCTTGCTGCAACCTCCTCCTTGGCCTTGTTGAGTTTGAGGCAGCAGCATGCCTTTGCCAGGCCATTAAAATTAATCTCTTGGGTATTAACCTCGATGTACCCATCTCATTGAACTTGATGTTTAACAATTGTGGAAAGGAGGTCCCTTCTGGTTTCAAATGTGCATAGATAACTTCAGCTTCTGCAAGTATCTTTGTTGTTTTTCATTCACGTCCTCTCTTCTTTGATTATGGTGTGTGTGTTATTAATTCGGGGTGTTATGTTTGGTTATATTTGATTTTAAATGTCTGCCATCTTGGCTTGTACCCTTGTAACTTTAAATCCTATCACTACTAATATGTGATTAGGGTTTTTTTGTATTGTGATTTAAGAATAAAGATGCATGTTCTTGAGATTACTAGGTTTTCGTAACACCGTCTTCCTTTTTTCTTTCTGTTTTTTTTTTCTTTTTGCAATAAGAGAGATTTTTAAAGCCTGAAATCAATTAAGACCTCAATACTCATTACTCATTACTCATTACTCATTAGATATTACTCATTACTCATTACTCATTACTTAACTATGGATATCTAAAAGAAGGGTCGAGTTCACGTGAGACAAGACTGTTTTCGTGAGACACGATTTTTACACTTGAAACTTCACAACAAAATGTTATGAAGGTAAAAAAAAGTCGAATCTTCTCGGCAAAAATACTGTGAATGTTACTTTCACAGTGTTTTGCTATGAAACTTCAAGTGTAAAAATCGTGTCTCACGTGTCTCACGGAAACAATCTTGTCTCACATAATACCAAGTCGTTACAAGAATGTTACTAAATTACTTAACAAACGATACTTTCCAAAACGGTTGTTAATGCCGAAAAATACAATACACATAGTGGACCTACTAAAAACAGGAGTATCACTGACAGTAGAAATCGTCGGTGATTCATTAGTGACGGTGATTATCAATGGATTATAGATGGGAATAATCCCCCAGTGTCACAATATAGCAGGTAAGCTAACCGACCGCCTTTAATGACATATTTTTAATACCAATCAGTGAACAAAACCGTCGGTAATGCGACACTAAAACTATTCAAAAATCATGTTATATCAACGCTCTACCCATGGATTTTAGATGGGAAACTCGACCAGAGAGCACCATTGATAAAGCGTTACAGACGTTAAATTAAAGCATCAATCAATAATCTACCCCTTTTCACTAATCACTTTAATTTTTTTTATCTCTAGATTAGAGATGGCCAAATGGGCCCGGCGCGGCCCGTAACCGCCGGAGGACCGGAACCGGGACCGGAGAGGGACCGGAACCGGCCCGGGACCGGTTGTGGACCGTCGGTTATGAACCGGTTATGGATTTTAACGTTTTTTAGGACCGAGACCGGTTAAGAC